CTAGCATTGCCCTACTTATTTAAAAAATAAAAATAAAATTGGTCTATGTTGCGGTTGGATTTCCCCCCCCCACCCCTTTTTTTTTTTACCAGACAGGAAGGAATCTCACCAGTGGTGCGGGAGTTCTAATCCCTCCCCTCTCTATCAAAACTAAAACACAAACTTTTGGCTATAGATGCATTTGACTGGTTACAAATTTATCAAACAACCCTTTTTTCACTCAAATTCACTATATTATGTATTTACCAGCCAAACGCCAGCAATGTGTTTTGACTACAGCTGGTACATTTGATAAAGATGTATTTACTAAACTCCAGACCCTGCATTCACTATATCTGGTCTCCCACAGTACATGGACTGCAATTATGTTAGGAAATATAAACTGCTAAATACCCTTTCTCATCTGCAGTTAGAGCAGTCTTGTGACTTCTATCAGTGTCCAGCTGAGTATTGGTTAAAGCTTGTAGGAGGAGTTTTAATGTTGCTGTAGGAGGATGCAGAACCCCTGACCTCTGTCTGGACAGTGCTGACTGGCCCTGTGGTGATGACATGCACTCTCCCAAGAAAAAAAAGAAACCTATCTAGCAGTGAACATGCGCAAAGTGACTCCACATGATATGTCTTATCAGGAGATAAGAGGGGGGCACTGGAAGAAAGGGAGGATCAGAGAAGACAGGATCAAACAGCCTTTTTTACACAATGCAGAGGATTAATCCCTTAGGTTCCACAGCGAGTATAACAAGCATGCTTTACAGCATATACAGACTGATTTTACTGTTGTGGGTTTAGTAACACTTTAACTCGCTTTCTTCAGCACACATTCATATAGCTAGGAAACTAACCTTCTCAAACATATGTTCAAGTACATCCATGCCATGTTCATCTTTTAGGAAAATACCTTTTTATTTATTTTTGCATGTCTACTTTATGCTGAAGTTTGGTGAAAAAATAATTTTGCTCTTATAGCTGCAGTCACATCACTTTTCTTTAATGAAGTATTCACCATCCTGTTTGGCAGCTTGATACTGTAGAAATCTTCTGTGCAGCTTGTATCCTGCTGAACGTCTGATTCTGATGGAGATAAAGCATGTCTAAATCCAAAAACAAAACATTTAATATGTTACAATTTAGTAATACTTAAATATGGCAGCCGCATTAATTTTTTTAGGCTTTTCTTTACCTTTATTTTGGCCTGTTGATCTTGTTAGTAAGTCTGTTATTTTTAAGACTCGTTTAACAGGCCAAGGTGTTCAGCAAAGGTGGCAGTTAGCCGGTTGAGAGAAAACATTAACACTGACAGGGTTGCCTTCAGCATTCAGCTTTTATTACTGTTGTTAAAACCTTTATTGCTTTTTTTAATTGGCTTACAAAGTGTTAGATGTAGTTATGCTTTTGGGCTTGTTTACGCTTGCAGTTGGAGGGCAGTAAAAACTGGCATTTGAGCCACATTTGTACTGTGCTTTAACGTTCTCACCACCTGTCAAACTCCTCTGGGAAAAAATTGTCCACTATAGATTGCTTTTCAGTGGAACAGCCAGCTCTGCTGGTAGTGCAAACCTAGACTAAATATGTTAGTCCCTTATGTAAAGTCCATCTAAATCCGCTAGTTCATCGAACACTATCCTCTCCACAGATTGACAATATTATCCTCCAAGGGTGGCTACTTTTCTGACCATGCTTCTCCATACATACAGAGGAGGAGGAGTTGTAGCAACCTTAAAACGAAATTGTGTTACTGGCAAGATCACCAGGTAAAATTAAGGTGGAAAAAATAAAAGAAAAACTAATGCAGCCGCCACATCTAAGTCCTGACAATCTGCAATATATTCTTTTTTTTTTTTTTTTTTTTTTTTCTTTTTTTGTCTAATTATGCCTTAATAGTTAGGAGTATTTTGTGAGCTGCAGTGAAACAGAGCCAACCACAGCCTGCCCTCCTGCTACTGATAAAAGCACACAATCTGTGAATGGGGAGAAAAGCTTGTTGTATATTAGAATTAACAAATTGTGTTACATGCCATATAATCAATGCACAGGCTTTTGTCAATGGAGCGGGTGGGACGGGCCACTCTTTCGCTACAGCATATAGAAGACTCTGAGCTATTAACCCCCTCAGTGCCTTAAGTTCAGAAACAGGAAGAGGACATGTCATCACTGTACAGAAGATTTCTACAGGAACCAGCTGCCTGACAAATATGAGGTATAATTCATCACAGGTAAGTGATGCTATCAAAGCTATAGGAGAAAAAATATATTTTGACTAAACTTCAGCTTTAAAGTGGTTGTAAACCTCTGAAATATATAAAATTAACAAAGCATTTCCTTCTATTGTGTGTACTTGCCCTTTTCCAAAGCACCTAGTGTCTCCTCTTTCATTCCTCCATCTGCATGAGTTACTTCTCACAGGCTGTGCTCATACAATACAGTCACAGGAGATGGCCCACCCCCTCTCCAGCACACAGCAGGTGATTGACAGCATCATTTGTGTATATTTCCCTATGAGACTGTGTTGTGGGGAGTGTATCTATTCCATCCACTCAGGTCTAAGATTACACTCGGCTCTGTGAAGTCTGATAACAGATCCCTGCCCTGTAGATAAAAAAATGTGCTGTGTAAATGAGTGCTTTAGAAGGCTAAACATGAGAGAGGGCTGCAGATAAATAGGTACAACGTATATAGGAGGCTTTGTTTCATTTTTGTGTATTACCTGAGGCTAGTCACTTCAGTAGGTACAGTCAGGTCCATAAATATTGGGACATCGACACAATTCTAACATTTTTGGCTCTATACACCACCACAATGGATTTGAAATGAAACAAACAAGATGTGCTTTAACTGCAGACTGTCAGCTTTAATTTGAGGGTATTTACATCCAATCAGGTGAACGGTGTAGGAAGTACAACAGTTTGCATATGTGCCTCCCACTTATTAAGGAACCAAAAGTAATGGGACAGAATAATAATCATAAATCAAACTTTCACTTTTTAATACTTGGTTGCAAATCCTTTGCAGTCAATTACAGCCTGAAGTCTGGAATGCATAGACATCACTAGACGCTGGGTTTCATCCCTGGTGATGCTCTGCCAGGCCTCTACTGCAACTGTCTTCAGTTCCTGCTTGTTCTTGGGGCATTTTCCCTTCAGTTTTGTCTTCAGCAAGTGAAATGCATGCTCAATCGGATTCAGGTCAGGTGATTGACTTGGCCATTGCATAATATTCCACTTCTTTCCCTTAAAAAACTCTTTGGTTGCTTTTGCAGTATGTTTTGGGTCATTGTCCATCTGCACTGTGAAGCGGCGTCCAATGAGTTCTGAAGCATTTGGCTGAATATGAGCAGATAAAATTGCCCGAAACACTTCAGAATTCATCCTGCTGCTTTTGTCAGCAGTCACATCATCAATAAATACAAGAGAACCAGTTCCATTGGCAGCCATACATGCCCACGCCATGACACTACCACCACCATGCTTCACTGATGAGGTGGTATGCTTAGGATCATGAGCAGTTCCTTTCCTTCTCCATACTCTTCTCTTCCCATCACTCTGGTACAAGTTGATCTTGGTCTCATCTGTCCATAGGATGTTGTTCCAGAACTTTGAAGGCTTTTTTAGATGTCGTTTGGCAAACTCTAATCTGGCCTTCCTGTTTTTGAGGCTCACCAATGGTTTACATCTTGTGGTGAACCTCTGTATTCACTCTGGTGAAGTCTTCTCTTGATTATTGACTTTGACACACATACACCTACCTCCTGGAGAGTGTTCTTGATCTGGCCAACTGTTGTGAAGGGTGTTTTCTTCACCAGGGAAAGAATTCTTTGGTCATCCACCACAGTTGTTTTCCGTGGTCTTCCGGGTCTTTTGGTGTTGCTGAGCTCACCGATGCGTTCCTTCTTTTTAAGAATGTTCCAAACAGTTGTTTTGGCCACGCCTAATGTTTTTTCTATCTCTCTGATGGGTTTGTTTTGTTTTTTCAGCCTAATGATGGCTTGCTTCACTGATAGTGACAGCTCTTTGGATCTCATCTTGAGAGTTGACAGCAACAGATTCCAAATGCAAATAGCACACTTGAAATGAACTCTGGACCTTTTATCCGCTCATTGTAATTGGGATAGTGAGGAAATAACACACACCTGGCCATGGAACGGCTGAGAAGCCAATTGTCCCATTACTTTTGGTCCCTTAATAAGTGGGAGGCACATATGCAAACTGTTGTAATTCCTACACCGTTCACCTGATTTGGATGTAAATACCCTCAAATTAAAGCTGACAGTCTGCAGTTAAAGCACATATTGTTTATTTCATTTCAAATCCATTGTGGTGGTGTATAGAGCCAAAAATGTTAGAATTGTGTTGATGTCCCAATATTTATGGACCTGACTGTATACGCAAGTGTTTACAACCACTTTAAACAAAAAGGCAAAAATAGTGCGTCTTTCATGTATTTGGTTCCATTTTTGTTTTGTTGTCATATTTTTTTTTCCATTTTTGTTCAGTTTTATTTTATTTCATTCATTACATTCTGCTAGGCAAACGAACTGCAGAAGCAGTTGAAGGAGCGTAATGAAACGTTTTCTACCCTAGAGAGCAATTTACAATCATTGCTTCAAACCAAAGAAACCAGTGAAATGGAAATGGAGAATTTGGTAAGGTTGCTGTTTATACACTGTTACATTGGATAGAGTTTAGGATTTAGCTTTGTGAAATGCTGATATACATCAGGTAATACAAGTATTGAACACGTCACCATTTTTCTCAGTAAACAGATTTCTAAAGGTGCTATTGACATGAAATTTTCACCACATGTCTTCAACAACCCATGCAATCCATACATACAAAGAAACCAAATCAAATAAGTTCAGAAATTAACCACCTCCCGCCCGCCATATAGTCCAATGACAGGCGCAAGATGGTTCTCTCGTTCTGGGAGGACATCATATGACGTCCTCTCATTCTCACCGCGCATGCGCTGCTCAGGGAGCGTGTGGCGATCGGCGGTGCACTGTGTCCCTCGGACACAGCGGATCACCGATCTACAGAAAGAGCCGAAGATGTCGGCTCGGTCATGTGATTAGCTGTGTCCAATCACAGCTGATCACATGTAAACAGGGAAATGCCGGTTATCGGCATTTCTCTCCTCACGAGCTCTCACGCTGACAGCTCAAGAGGAGAGGAGAGCTGGTAATCGGCATTCCGCGGAGAAGACATGTACACTTATCAGGGCACTGATGATCAGTGTGCCCTGATGATCAGTGTGGCCCCAGAAGTTCCACCTGTCAGTGTCCATCAGTGTCAGCTGTCAGTGCTGAACAGTGCCACATCAGTGCCACATATCAGTGCCTACCAGTGCACATCAATGCCACATATCAGTGCCCATCTGAGCTGCCAGTCAGTGCTGCCTATCAGTGCTGCCAGTCAGTGCCAACTATTAGTGCCACCTATCAATGCCATATATCAGTGCTGCTTTTCAGTGCCCATCAGTGTTGCCTGTCAATGCCCATCAGTGCCACCTACCAGTGCCTCCTCATCAGTACCATCTATCAGTGCAGCCTATCAGTGCCCATCACTGCAGCCTCATTAGCGCATATCGGTGAAGGAGAAAAATCACTTATTTACAAAATTTTACAACAAAAACTAAGAAAAAACTTTTTTTTTTTCAAAATTTTTAGCGGTTTTTGGTTTGTTTAAGAAAAAATAAAAAACCCAGAGGTGATTAAATACCACCAAAAGAAAGCTCTGTCACAAAAAAATGATAAAAAATTTCATATGGGTACAGTGTTGCAAGACCGCGCAATTGATATTCAAAGTGTGACAGTGCTGAAAGCTGGAAATTGGCCTGGGCAGGAAGCGGGTATAAGTGCCCTGTAGGCAAGCGGTTAAGATATGTGTAGTAAAATGGAATGACACAGGGAAAAAGTATTGAACACTCTAACTGAAATGTATGTAATACATTGTACAAAATCCTTAGTTGGTAATGACAGCTTCAAGACTCCACCTGTATGGAGAAACTAGTCGCATGCATTGCTCAGGTGTGATTTTGGCCCATTCTTCCACACAAACACTCCTCAGGTCTTGAAGGTTCCGTGGGTCTCTTCTATGAACTCTGATCTTTAGTTCTTTCCATAGATTTTCTATTGGATTCAGTCAGGTGATTGACTGGGCCATTCTAGCAGCTTTATTTTCTTTCTTTGAAACCAATTGAGTGTTTCCTTGGCTTTGTGTTAGGGATCATTGGCTTGCTGAAATGTCCTCCCTCGTTTCATCTTCATATCCTGGTAGATGGCAGCAGATTTTTATCAAGAAAGTCTTGGTACATTTTTCGATTCATCCTTCCTTCAACGACATGACGTTTTCCAGCACCGTATGCTGAAAAACAGCCCCACACCATGATGTTCCCATCTCCAAACTTCACTGTTAGTATGGTGTTTTTGGGGTGATGTTCAGTGCCATTTGGCCTCCAAACATGGTGTGTATTAGGGCATCCAAAGAGTTCAATTTTGGTCTCATCTGACCAGACTATATTCTCCCAGTATTTCACAGGCTTGTCTAAATGTTGTGCAGCAAACTTTACACAAACTTCCAACATGCTTTTTTCTTCAGCAGTGGAATCTTGCATGGTGAGTATGCATACAGACCATGGCTGTTGAGTGCATTACTTATTGTCTTCTTTGAAACAATTGTACCTGCTAATTCCAGGTCTTTCTGAAGCTCTCCACAAGTGGTCCTTGGTTCTTGGACAACTCTTCTGATCATTCTTTTCACTCCTCTGTCATAAATCTTGTGAGGAGCATCTGGTCATGGCTGGTTTATGGTGAAATGATGTTCTTGCCACTTCAGGATTATGGCTCCAACATTGCTCACTGGAATAGTCAGGAGTTTAGAAATCTTTCTGTAACTAATGCTTCAATATGTTTGACAACAATAGGGTTGCAAAGGTCCTTAGAGGGCACTTTGCTTTTACCCATCGTGAGATGTTTCTTCTGACACCTTGGTAATGAGATACCTTTTTATAGGCCATCAGTTGAGACTGAACCAGCTGATATTATTTTGCACTGACAAGGGGCAGGATTGCTTTCTAATTACTGATAGATTTCAGCTGGTGTCTTGGCTTTCCATGCCTTTTTGCACCTCCCTTTCTTCTTGAGTTCAATACATTTTCCCTGTGTCATTCCATTTTATTACGCATAACTTAATTTCTGAACTTATTTGTTTTGGTTTCTTTGTATGTATGGATTGAATTGGTTGTTACCGACGTGATGAAAATTTCATGTCAATAGCATCTTTAGAAATATGTTTACTGGGGAAAATGGTGACTTGTTCAATACTTATTTTACCCGTTGTAACGTTCTCCATTTGCACGAATCAAATGTGTGTTTCTTTAAATTGATATACGCATATTTACATGTATTAATCAACTGTTTTTCTTCTAGAAAAAATTATTGAATTCCTCAACCGAAGACACCAAGGTTTTCCAAAAAGTTATGCAAGGTGAGGAAGGGAAAAATAGTTTGACCAGTAGCAGGAAAATTTTTACCTACCCTTGGCTAAATTGGCACGAAGATCTCCTTGTTATAGTTGTGTCCTAATGGGATTTGTTGGGTCTTCTACTCACCTTTTGCACGTTGTTGCACCTCCTGTAGCATTCTTTATGAAATAAACAGGCACTGCAGGTTGACTATAATATTGACTATACCTTTCTATTCTCTGAGGTGTAAAGAATTGTGCCGCCACAACCTATGGTTAGGTGGTAGTGCAATAAAAGTTGCCAGGATGTCTCTGGCCTGGATGTCGCATTTATGGCTTCCTTCATACATGCAGTAGAAAAGTGGGCATAGACATCCAAAGACAGGAACTGTTATTGGAAGGATTGGCAGGTGGAAATAAGGAGGAAAAAAACATAAAATGGGGGGAAATGCAGGCAGCACATCTAAGGCTAGGTTCACACTGTGTGGAACTGCGTGTAATTGCATGCTTTTCCACACCTGTGTCAAAAATGCTCTGCTGCTGGCAGACGCGTGGGGTGCCATTAACTCATATTGGCACCCCACACACTGAAAACCACAGCACAGTTTTCTGTGCTAAGAACTGCACAACATTTTGCAGTTTCCCTCCGGTTGTGATTTTGAAAAAGGTGCAGGGACCTTTCCTTTGCATTTTCTGTAGGTACAGCAGTCCATTCAAATGAATAGGCTGCTGTGCCTGCACAAATGCAGCCACTGGGAAACCGGAATAGTGTGAATCTAGTCTAAGGGAAAGGTAAGCTGCACTAAGTTACATTTTAGTTTTTGGGTTTATTTCATTTTCATTTGTTTTTCCTGACCCATTTTTACCTGTGAAACTTTAAGCCAGGCGTTCTTAATCAGAGTTCAATGGAACCTTAGGGTTCCCTGAGCTGTGTCTCATTGACCTTTCATTTGATGGTTCCTGTATGGTTCCAGAACCTGCACCCCTTGACAAAGCCAGCAGCCACCAGTTATCTTATAAGCCATCTGTAAGAATGGTGTTCTGGCTACCACTGTAAGGGTTGCATTCTTCCTGCTGACTATCAATACAAGGGGCATTTTTACTATGGCCTACTGATAACTGGGGTTCCCTAAGGCAAGGGTTAAAATTTCAAGTCCAGACCTACTAGCCGGTCACATAACTTACTCTCCATCAGTTGCCCCACCCAACCTTGCCCAGGTCTGCCCCCAACCCCAACCACGCCCCCTTAAAGCTTACGAAATTAAAATTTTCTTTAGAATAAAGAGTCCAAAATATAAAACTGTACATAGTAATGTATATCCCAGCTCCCCTGTACTCCATTATAGTGATATGACATGTATACAGTATGTATATCCCAGCTCCCCTGTACTCCATTATAGTGATGTGACATGTATACAGTAGGTATATCCCAGCTCCCCTGTACTCCATTATAGCGATATGACATGTATACAGTAATGTATATCCCAGCTCCCCTGTACTCCATTATAGTGATATGACATGTATACAGTAATCATTACTGTATACATGTCATCACTATAATGGAGTACAGGGGAGCTGGGTATACATACACTTACTGAGTACAGGGGAGCTGGGATATACAATTACTGAGTAATGTATATCCCAGCTCCCCTGTACTGCACTATAGTGATATGACATGTTGTATACAGTACTTACTCCTAGTCCCTCCGAGTCCCCCACAGCGGTGGAGAGGTTGTCTCCTCTCAGCAGAGCCAAAGAAGCCGGAAACCAGAAGTTGTAACCCGGAACTTGGCTTCACAATGAGGCTTGGAGTGCAGTCGCTCCATGCTTCATCTGTGCTCGCCACAGAGGAATTTCTCCTCGCATTTTGTGAACGGTCGAGCAGCTTTTTCAAGCCCTGCCCTAAGGGTTAACCTGAACATTTTTTGGGGGGTTCCTCTGGGTAAAAAAGGTTAAGAAACACTGTTTTAAGCAATTGCTTTGCATGCAGAAAACCTTGTTGTACATATTTAGACAAAGAATGAAATGTAAATTAAATGCTGTTTTAATAGTGGTGCATTATTAAACAGGACAGAGTTATTTAGCAAGCATTAGCAAAAAAGTTAGAAAGTAGTAAAAATATAAAGTAACTTTGATAAATCTGTCATTAAAGGTACATCGGCACAGGTTCAGAAGGTAAAGTGTATGTAGGGCAAAATACAAAAATGGTGCAGTACATCTCTGTGATACATGTACATTTCTCCATGTTTTATCCATTTAAAGACCCCACGTTGCTGGAAATACCTGTTCATTTGCTAGAAATTAAAGCCTTGGTACAGTTAAAAGCAAAAACAGAAAAATCAGCACTTATAGCCAGTAGGATGTATCCCTTGTTCTGATTCCTTTTCTTTTAGTACAGCCCAACAATTAAAAAAAAAAAAAGTTGGGACGCTGTGCAAATTCCACATAAAAACAGTATGCAATGATTTGCAAATCTCATAAACTCATATTTTATTCACAATAAAAAAGAAACTTGGAGAATATACCATTTTATGAAAAAACTAAGGTAATTTTGAAATTGATGTCAGCAACACGTCTCAAAAAAGTTGGAACAGGGCACCAAAAAGCTGGAAAAGGAAGTGATACTGACAAGGAAGAGCTGGAAGAACATTTTGTGACTAATTAGGTTAATTAGCATCAGGTTAGTAACATGACGGAGTATAAAAAAGAGAGCATCTTAAAAAGTTAGTGTGTCTCATAAAACCTCATTTGTAAAAACCTGTGTCTAAAAATTGTCAGTTTCAGAATCATGATCTTCCACATAAAATTGCAAAGTCTTTAAATATACCAACATCTATGGTACATAATATAAAAAAAAATCTGAGAATGTGGAGAAATCTCTTTGCTGAAATGCAATATTGATGTACTGCATTAAAAACAGGAATGATTCTGTGATGGACATCCTGCATGGGCTCAGGATTAATCCCAAAAATCACTGTCTGAACACAGTTCGCTGTGACATCCAAAAATGCAAGTTAAACTCTATCATGCAGAGAAGCAGCC